TACTAAAAAACAAATTTATGTATAACATGAATAAAATTCAATAATATTGATAATTTCAGTACCATTATAAAAATGAATAAAATCATAGTTGGTTCACAATTACAGAATATTCTACACACAGATTTAGAGTAACTAAAGAACAAAATCTATAAAATGAGTAAAATTTAGTAATATTGATAATTGTAGTACTATTAAATCAGAGCAAACTCATAGAAATAAACAGAATTCAAGGGAGTTCAATTTACATTTATAGATAAGATATTTAATTAAAAGATTAGGATGCAGTTTATTAATAAAAATTGATATTGCTAATTGAATTGCATTTCTCGCGTTACGTTATCCTTCCGCCTCGGCCGGTAATCCTAGCGAAACGTAGAAGCATCACCGGCGTTTCCATGAATGGAAGTGATCGTCGTCTCGACAAAACACGACGATCAGCCGATTTGCATGAGCGCAGCGCGCGCCGTTGCGCGTGCCGATCGTCCCGCTGCGTGGCTTAGGTACTTTCACCGTGAGTCAACTTGACTCATTCATTGCCATTCGCCGCGTGATTAACTCGGCAATCATTCGGTGATGTCAGGCGGCCGCGAAGGATTCCATGGAACTAACCGTGACGTTTCTTCGAAGCTCTGTCACGCTCCAAGGTGATTTTTTCGGTCACGAATCGGACTCATTTTCTTTTTTCACCTTGGCTGTCGAAGAGACATGCTGGTCCCGTCGCCTGTCCGACGCTGAGATCGGTTTAATTGTTTGGAACGATGACACTCGGCTCTGCAATTTAAATCTGTTTTCGAGAACTTCGTTTTAATTGACAGCTTCGTAATAATTAATTCGATTTATATCCAGAGATGTTTAAGATATAGAATTGAACAGTGATCAGGTGGTTATTCCTTTGTATGGAAAGATTCAATTGAAGATTAGTCTATAAAAGCAAATTAATTGTAATTATAATATGTATTAAAAGTTAATTCATTTGAATCGTAATACATATTAAAAGACAATTAATTACAATTATTATAAATATAGAATTCATTTATAAAAGTTAAGTAGATAGAATTATAATAAATATTAAGGGTTAATTAATTTGAATTCTAATAAATATGAAAAGATAATTAATTACAATGATCATAAATATAGGGTTCATTTATAAAAGTTAATTAAATAGAATTATAATAAATATGAAGAGTTATAAAAGTTGTCTAATAAAAAAATTTTAAATATAAAAGTTAAGAAATCCTTGGTAACAATTTTTGTAAGGAAAGAGTTTTCGAGTTATTTCAAAGTCACCTTCATTCTTCTTTAAATAGCATAATAAATTATAAAATGAAAGTGAGAGATATAGCTACAGTTTCCAGGAACGTGTAAGAATATTTGAAAATCGTAAACATGATTCAATCGGCAGAGAGTTGAAGAAGAAAAAGACTCGAGAGTGAGGAAGATTGATACAATTAAGCTTACTAATCACAAGTTTGTAACATTTGCGAGAAAATAATGTAAAGAATGAATTTTACATTGTTATTACCTGATATTTCACAATTAAATGAAAGGAGTTACACGTGAGCTAGAACATCTCGTCGCCGAACGAGCTGAAGAAAGGGCTTAATTGACTAATTGGATCACTTACAGCTGTTCGGAATGAATACCAAACAATAGAGGGCCATGATCGCATTTACACCGCCTAAACCGCGAAGGGTGAATTTAATCGTAGCTCTAGTAGCTACGAAATAAATGAACATTGAAAGAGTTCGGTTAGTTGGACGTTCCTTTGTGAATATGTACGATAGAAGCTATTGCATCATCGGAGTTACAAAATGTTAAGTATTTAATGATGAAATAATTAGTTATAAATTATTATGAATTATAATAAATATGAATGCTTTCATTTATCTTAATCGCTGTAGACTGTATTAAGACAGCACAGATGATCGTGACGCAACAATTAAAGTAGCACACAATGAAATAAAAGTTTCGATACAATCGAATGAAATTTTTCTTTCATTTTTAATTTAGGTAAGTATTTAATAGAAGGGATCGCTGGTTTATTCTTAGATATATTTGAAACTCTCAAAGAGGAAGTTAATGTACACAGTTTCCTTGACAACAACGTTGTACCACGTGCAGTATAAATTATTTAAGAAAAATTGTAAATCTTAATTGTCCTCGTTAACTACTAAATTAACACATTCGTATCGAGTAATTTTTGTTAAAATTTTCCGATAGGACAGGGTATTTTAATAATATAAAAATGTTTCAATATAAGTGTATTAAAATTGTGAAAAATATTTTTATAATTAACATATAGTATAATATATTATCTAGTATCTTAACGCATTCTAACATATACGTAAGCTGTATCTTAACATGTGTTTTAACAGAGTGTATCTATTGAACTTCAATTAATTTAAACTTCAGTTTGCCTATTGCTAAATCAATTTCTTTAATAATTTCTTGAAGTAATTGAAAAATCAAAAATGAGTAATTTTTACTTGTCTCATAGTTTCACCGTAGGAAACGAAAATTCTCGTTGTTATTTAATTACTTCATTCGCAAGAATCTAGTAAAATCACTTTTTAATTTGGTCTATTTCACTTCGCATAACAAAGTGACGAATAAAATCAAGTAATCAATTAACTTCAACTTTGACACGCTCAGACGTGAAAGTTCCTCATTGTAATTTCAAAATTACAAGGTAAATTCGTTGTAATACAATTATTAAAACTATTGAAAACATTGTTAACTTGTATTTGCAGGTTGATATTTGTTCATATCATGCTACATACATTTTTTTTATAATCACAAATAGAAATTCGGCTTATAAGGGTTAAAAAGTGGTACAACAGAAAATCGAAGATCTTCGTAAGAATGTGGTCGGTAGTTCACGAAGATGATAAAAAAACGTGTGAAGAATGTGGAATCGATCTCAGGAAACACGTCCGAAGAGATAAGAGAGGCTGCAGCGTGAAAAGAAGCGATAGAAGAGCGAGAGTGGGACATCGGCCAGCGGTTCCCATGTCTTCCATAGGTTTTGACGAGTTTTTTGTCGCGAGGGAACGCCCGGCCACTGGGTGTCCGTTAATTTCTCTTAATTAAGCTCAATCGAGGTTAATGCACCGCAGCTTGACCCTAGTTTACCAAATCCAGCATAGCACGAAACCAGCCGATAGTTTGTTCATCGATGTCGGCGCTTATTGTTAATAATAATATTGTTGTTACTATTGTAATACACATTTCGCTTAACCCCTTGACCTACAATATCGTATCAGGCTCGCGAAAATTTTAAACTGAATTTCAAGTATCTTCTAAAAGTAAAAGTAATCTTGTTTCAAATGTAAATAGGTAATTCTTTTTTATTTTAACGTCGGTTTTGTGTATTGAAACACAATATATATTTTATATGTATCTTGAGCTACAAGAGGAAACAATGTACGTCATATTTCTAGAATGATTAATAATATTGAAAAGTCTAATAAAATTTATATGGTATTTTATATTAACACGTTGACTGCTGCGATGACAATTATACCTCCTAAGATAACCGACATCCAATAGAAATGTTCAACAACGTAAATGAATAGATAATAATGTAATTTAAGAATTGTAGTACCAAATAATTGATAATGATTTATTTTTATCTTCGCTACAAAAGAAAAAGTTACACATAAAGCGCTGAAGCTTTTCGTGGAAGTCAACTTGTTGATCTTTTTGGAAATGTGATGTATTTTGTTTCGTCTTGTGAATATTGTAATAATGGAAAATATGTTCATGTATTTTATAAATTTTGAGAAAGTCTTTGAGAATTTGAGAATTTTATTAATCTTTTCTACCTTATTAATCTCTTTGAAAACGCGACGTCTATTGTTTCATCTCGTGGTTGTTGTAATAATGAAAAACATGTTACACGTAAATATTGTTCATTAATTTCTGAAATTCATCGCGAGCACAGGAAACTGGAATTGTATTTCTCATTGAAAAAGCTGTTTTCTACACATTCCGGTGGAATCCATCGCGCGTGACGTAGAACGGAAGCTACACTGTTGTTTGAAAACAGTTTCCTGAAACAATTCACAGGACTCACGTAGCTATTCCACTAATTTCTCGAGGATTGACGCAATTGTTCGTTTACAAATTGTTCAGTGATGATTATCTATAACATTGAATAATTTTTAGTAATTTTTCTATAAATTTTCATTAGCCTTACGCTTTTATTTCGTTTGACTAAAAAATTAATGTTCTAACAATCTCTTTTACGTAACATAGAATTTCTTCATTTAAACAAAAATTAATTTTAGAATTATTATTTGCATTGTTGACTGAAATTAATATCGTACAAGATCATGAACAAATTAAAGGTAGAACCTTATATAATAAATATAATTTAATAATAAAATTCTAATATTATAAATATCATTCCATAATAAGATTGTAGTATTCTAAATATTATTTAATAATTAAATTCTAATAATTTGATAATTTCTAAAGTAGGTCCATGTATGTACAAACGAAAGTGTCCAAAAGAAATTTCATTTAATTTATAGTACCTGTAAATTGGCCCATATATAAATCGTATTTGCATAAACATCTACAGTCTGCTCATTGAAGGAGACTGACAGAATTCATTATTATTTATGGCGTCTTGAAGAGGGTGCTTTTATTAAACGGAAGTAGGTCATCCGAAGGATTTACGAAGGACAATATAAGACACTTGTATTGTGTCATTTCGAGTGCTTAATACCTTTTTGAAAGATTATTGCACGATAACGCGATACGTTTCGAAAACTGAAGTTATGAATCATTTATGACTATACAAAATGCTATCATGTATTATTGAAATAATAAGAATACACCGAATAAAATATAATATAATTCTGAAATATTCAAACTCTAACTTCGACACTTAAAAGGAGAAAAATGAAGAGTACTTTCTTGCAATCAGTTTCAAACAAAAGAAGATTTATTAAAATCGAATATCTTATTTTCTTTGATTTTTCGTGTAATTACAGGCCTCGGAGGTTGATCAAAGTCGAATGAATCACACGCAAAGAAGCAGAGATTCGTCGCCGTTGAAATGGACAATACAGTCTTCTATTTGTACCGTTTTGCGAGAAACGCCACCGAAAGCGCAATCATCGATGGCGATATATCGAGGTAAATTAATATATTCTTACCATGGTATAAATTGAATTTTTATAATGAAAAAGATAGACATAAATCTTGTGCTAAAACGAATGTATCATTGACATCAAATATTGCCTCCGCATTTTATTTTATCCTTGCGAAACAATGTTATCCTTTTTTATTAATTATAAACCCTGATATTTTTGATTTAGTTAACAAAAAATGTACATACATATATGAAAGAAATTAAATATCAGTTTATTCTTTAGTTTACATTAGAGTCATCCAATCCAAACGTCACATTCAGTGACTTAAATACGATAAAAATATTTTCTTTCATTACTTGTGTATTAATTCTTTCCATATGTAATTCATTAATTACATATAAATATAAATAACAAATATGATATTCATTTAAATTGTTCTGTTTCTACGTTTTATTATCGATGAGTACATTTACCAGTCTGTTCACGTAATCTTAAATAGATCTAAATATTTCTTAAGTTCATTTATTTATTTATTTCGAACAGTGAATAAAAAGAATTGTCCAATTTCTATACACAGATTTCCAAAGCCGCTACGGACATTCGCGGCGGTGGTTGCCATTTTGATAATGATCGTCGGCCTCGCCGGAAATCTGCTGACCATCATCGCTCTCTGCAAGTATCCCAAAGTTCGCAATGTCGCGGCAGCATTTATTATAAGGTAACATCAACCTCATTAATTTTAATTCTCATTAATACATCGAAAAAAGAAAACTTTGCTTTGTAGTGTTGACAATTTATCAATTAACAGTTACATGACACTTAACATATTATCAACCAATAAGGGAGATTATCCATTTTTCTTAACAATGCGATATCTTCTGAACTTCTTTACTATTCGACTAAAGTCATTTATAGACATATTATATAAGATAAAGAATCATCATTATTATACCATTCATTTTTCAAAACGTCTTTTCTATTAATAGAGTTACTACAAGTCGCTCGAGAAAACTGCACTGTATTTAACATACGGAGTGTCGCAAAGAAATGTTGCCACACTTTAAAAATACGTTAATGTAGTCCATTATAAATATATGAATGTATGATATTTAAACATTTGATAAACCATCAAATTGTGGTAACATCTTTTGGGGCACCCTGTATATATATATCTAGAACTTATTTTGTAGTTATTGATACCTTATAAGTATCAAATATTCGAAACGATTTTGAAAATAAATAGTTTACTCTAATACTATAATGAATATCCGAAGAAATCGGGAAAGATGTATCGTTACAATCTTCATAGGGATTACATGTCAACCCTATTAAATCCTCGGTACTCGTAATAATATTTACACTTTAGTATTCTACTGATACATATTTTAAAAGAATCCATAACGTAGAAAATTAAATAATTTTCTTTGGATTATTGCAGTTTATGTGTGGCAGACTTTGTGTTCTGTCTACTGGTATTGCCATTCGATTCAATTCGGTTCGTCAACGCTAGCTGGGCGGAAGTGCGGTTTCTGTGTGTCCTTGTGCCTTTTCTGAGATATGGAAACGTTGGCGTTAGCCTCCTCTCTGTCGCAGTCATAACCATCAATAGGTATATATATGTAAATAAATCTTTCGAATTGTATAAAATGCTTAATAAAAATCTAATATACGTAAATAACTCTTTTGAATTGTATAAAATGCTTAATAAAAATCTGATATACGTAAATAACTCTTTTGAATTGTATAAAATGTTTGATAACGATCTAAGTTTCACTTAACATCTAATTTGCTCTAAAAATATTTGTAGTTCACAGAACAAACGCACATTTAATTCATATTTTCAGTAGATCTACAGATTTTCAAGAATCTAAGATCTGTTACTCTACTGTTGGAAAAATATTAAAATATAGTGCTATAGAACTTTCACTTGCAATTTCATTTAATTGAGACACTCTCTTCAGGTACATCATGATAGCTCACCACGGCTTGTACAGCAAAGTGTACAAAAAGTACTGGATCGCTTTCATGATCGTGTTTTGTTGGATCTTCTCTTACGGAATGCAAGTACCCACTCTCTTAGGAATTTGGGGTAAGGCCGAGTGTATTTTCGTTCAATCTTGTTCAAACATGAAATCGATTATTGCACAAATATTTTTAATATTTCTGCTTTCCTTCGTCTCGCAGGAAGATTCGACTACGATTCAAACCTCGAAACCTGCTCGATCGTTAAGGACGAAAGAGGTCGCACATCGAAGACATTCCTTTTCGTAATGGGTTTCGTAATACCATGCGTGGTGATCGTTGGATGTTACACAAAAATATTCTGGGTTGTGCACAGGTAAATAATTATGTTTACTTATTAACTAATACTAAATAATTGTAATAACATGTCAGACTTGCGATGAAAATGTTCAATTGAAGCCTAAATGTTATTTATTTAGTTTTAACGTAAATTAAATATCACCTGTCTATTGTCAATCTTTAACATTTGTTATGGATGTAGACTAAAATTCATATCTTTTCCTACTAAGATATTAACGATAAAGTTGTTTTGTCAAGTACAATTGAGAAATAAATCGTGAGATAAGGAAATAATAAAAATAAGCAAATTTAACGGTTTCTTATATTGGAATAAAATTCCCTTGCAAACATTTTTATCGATGTAAGCAACCATTTTCTCATGATTCCTAGATCCGAGTCGAGGATGCGGAAACACACGACACCAGCGATAAAATCACCTCACACACCTGGAAGGGATACCAGAGAAATCAAACAGAAGCGAAGCGAATGGCGGATCACGAAGATGGTACTCGCCATTTTCCTCAGTTTCGTAGCTTGTTACCTTCCAATTACAATCGTCAAAGTAGCCGACGCGGAGGTTAAATACCCAGGTAATGTATCTACTAAAAAAAAATCGAATTAATCCTAGAAACTGAGTAATCAATACTCATTTCTGTATTTTCGTTAATAATCTCTTAGCTATTCCAAATTGCCATTGCGATGATACCTTTGCATTGGTTTAAGTTTTCAAAATAAAAATTTCTACAAAACATTTTAAATACCAAAACTTTAACTATGGTGTAAATTGTTTTTTAGATTTTGATCATTTTTATTATTATGTTTTCATTATTAAAAATTAATGCATTCGTATAATCTACTCTTATAGAACGTAATGTAATTCTATTCTAGAGAATAAGTAAATTCTATTATACAAAAATAGTAATAGCAATTACTGCCTATAGCAATTACCAATAAAAACAGATGTGCAAATTAGAGACTTTAACACTAGAACTACCGACCAGTAAAATTGATTTTTCTACATTTTCTTATAAAACTTACAAAAATACACTTACCGAGTTTTCGATTTCCTTATATTCTAGTCTGTACTTATCTAAATCAATTTCTTGAATAATTTCTGAGAAAATAGAGTGTGCCTCTCCCATAATTATGAAAGAAGAGACCCATCTGGTAGTTCTAGTGTTAAGTGTCTCCACTTTATATACTACGTAATTAATACGCCTATTAATTAATTCATTCTAACAGCATACAAATACCGAAAGTATACTATACAACACAAATCCCAAGAAAAACACGACTGTTCAATTCTTTGACAAATAATAAAATTACGAGTAAAATTAATAATAAAATTCCCAAGACACGACAAAACACGTTTGCGCAGTTACTGAACAGTTAAAGTTTTTTCCTCAGGGTTCCACGTGCTGGGCTACCTGCTACTGTACTTCGCGTCCTGCGTGAATCCAATAATTTACGTGATCATGAACAAGCAGTACAGGCAAGCTTACGCAGGGGTGATCGGTTGTTCGCGGATAAGGGCGGGCCTGACGCCTTACGGGAGCAGCGCACCCGGCCACCAGCACCAACAGGACTATGGCCAAGGTAACTTCGAGCAACGTCGAGTGGTAACGCTCACCAAGCTCTGACCGAACGCGAGCTAAGCGACCACACTTCGCTCCACACTTCGCTCCACACTTACTTCGTAAGTCAAGGGCACAAATTCGCTGCTTTCTATGAAACGCAATTTCGCCCACTTCCGGTCCCATTCGTTAGGCACGTGTACTCACACCGCTAAATACTGTCTACAAACGATATCTCTTCACGTCCCCATCGAACTGAAGGGGCAAGTGCGACAAGGAGACAGCACAGTGTGGCAAAGTCGAAGAATCAGTATTGTTACGGCGTGGGCAACGGATCGCGATCGCGAATTGAACGTTCCATTCGTGGGATGCCCACTTGCAACGCGAAATTAACCCCTTGATCTATTTTCCAACTGTGATCGACACAACAACTTCATCACTAATGATTATTGAAAAAAGAGAAAAATTATAGTTATTATCTAATTATAATTAGAATATGCATATTCTATGTCTACGTCCACTCTACAATATAATCATTGATAACAGAAGAATAACATCTAATTATAATTAAATGTAATTGAGTAATATTTATGTTTGTTAAATTCTATTTAAAATCTTCACCACGATTCTCACACGTTATTATAAGGTGAGGGGTTAATAGCAATGGAATGATTTGATGGTGGAATGCTGAGAGATAGGTATCACCAGGTGAACCTGCGTGCTTGAATGTTTAACAAGAACTTTAATACGTAGAAGTCTTACAATTTGTGTTGTTCGGACGCTGTCGTGATTTGATCTAGTTTTCTTCTCGGTTGCTTCGCTGAAGGTAGCGTGTAAATTTATTTTTTGGGAACGTCTTGGATTGGCTGTTCCCTTCGACGCCTTGCCACTAACAGCAGCGTGGGGGTGAACAATTTTCTTGCCCTCGACTGCCTGCTAGGGTGCTGTTTCACGTCAGGGGAAAATCCCAAAGCCCGCACAAGTTTGGCTAGAATTTTCTCCACACTTGGCTTGCAGAAGTAGGACAGACACAGTCCTAGCATCGAGAGTCCAAACGCGGGACTTCAAAATGATGCCACGCGTGTTAAATATAAAGATGCAATAAAGGAAATATATCCATTTCATTAATTTCAATCTTACTTCCTCAAACGTAGTGCCAGTGAATTATTGAGATTGTGGTTAAAATAAGTTCAAACACGACGTAAATCGGACTAGCCGTATTTATTTTAAGGAAATGAATCTTCGATTTTGTTAATTACATTAACACTAGAACTAGGGAACAGTTAAATTGTCTCTTGAAATTATTCTGTAGAAACCTCAAAAGTGCAATTATTGAGGCAGTTGGTTCGCAATTCAGTTTGTGTATTGCTAAATCAGTTTCTCTAGTATTTTTTCAGAGAAGCATCTGTTATCTGTTGAAGAACTGCAAAAAATGAAATCAGGAACGATTTCCGGTAGTTCTAGTGTTAAGTTGATAAAACTAGTCCCATTTATATGGTGTTTGGACTTATTTTAATCACGACAATCTCAAGAATTCACTGGCACTGCGTTTGAGAAAGTAAGATCGAAATTAATGAAATTGATTGATTTTCGATGCTCGGAGAACTATCTGTTTCACTTCTTCTCATTATACTCATTCTCCGACTTTCTTAGTTCGATGGGGGCGTAAAAGGATATGGTCCGTGGACAGTACACAGTCTCTGGTAACCAAAGATGGACAAACCATTTAACACTATTATATTACATTATTATACTAATATGTAACAATCTGACCCACTTCGGAACCTTTGTTTTTCAAGTATTTACGAAGACGCTTCTATTATACGAAAGATTTTCTATGAAATTTGTGTATTTGTACAGATACAAGACTAGGAGACCCTTCGTATCTAAAGAAACGTATTGTTCTAATTTTCATAGAAAGTTGAAAATAAGTCACTATAATTGCTTGATGTGTCAGTGTTAACACTAATTGTCTTAACCAGTCAAGTAAGTGGCTATAAAATAAAGGTAAAGAAGTTAGACGATAAATGTTTTACCTATTAATCTCTCGCGTGTATCTATACGATTGCAATGTTGCCCATCTCTGAAAATAAAGTGTTCAATGAGACTGCACGATATAGCTCTAACAAAATTAATCGTCTAATCAATTTACAATTAATCTCCACCTGATTAAACTAAATAACGAAAGGTTGAATTGATTTCAAATATGTTTTTCTCCAGATGCTGCATGTGTGTTTAAAACGTAATCCAATAACATCTTCTACATTCGCCTAACTAGCAGATTTATTTTATCAAATTTACTGTATACAATAAGAATTCAAAAATAAGAAACAAAAAGTACACTAACTACAGGAACACAGCTCGTTTCTCACGAGAACGATAATACTTTTTCAATCAATAAAGTTTCCATTCAACTAAATTTCAATTAACAATTGCGTTTTTTGCACAACGAAAGAATCACCCGAAGGCTTCAGCATCTAGCTAACCACGCACGCAATCTGCTTCGTTAATTTTCATTTTTAATTATTTCCTGCTTGTCGCTTTACACATAGGGTATATACATATATGTACCAATTTCCTTTGAAGCGTTCGAAGGAGAGCCAATATTCTCGAATTGATTACGAACCGGCCAATTTTCATTACAGACTACTCGAAGGACTTTAGCAAGACGATGGTGTCCACTGTCTCCATTGCAATGAATCCTGTGAGGAATCCTCATTTCGAAGAGGACTCGTGAATTTAGGACTGAACTGCGCGTAAAAAGAAGAAAAAGTAATATAAACGTATTTAGGGTAAACCGAAAATAAATGACCAATTTTCTTTAACAGAACTATTTCATCATAAGTGTCATTAACTCTCTGCGAAATTTTTCAAACTTTTAAAAACTCTTTTCATAGAAATTTAATTATGTATCGAAATCTTAAATATTAGAAAAAGTAGAATCACGTATATATCAGTCTTTCATTATTTGAATAATTAAATTACTCATTCGCAGCTATTGATTTTACATATGACAGCTCGAAGTCATTATTATGGTGAAATTTGACTGTAAAGGGTTGATACCTAAGAAAAATATATACAAGGTAAGTCGTTAAACTGTGCCATCTGAATTTACTTATAAACCGTTTATTACATAAAGAAAATGTTCTAAATGAAAGTTATTCAGTATCAATCAAACCAACCGTGTTTTGTCTACTATAATTTCAACTCTTGCCACACAACTTCTGTCTGGAACATTTTTTACCTAAGAAATAAATTTTGATGGCATGATTGAACGATTTACTCTGTATATATATTTATGAAAGGAATTAAATATAAGATGAATAGTTAAATTCTTCTCTATGCAAAATTCAGTATAGCATTAAAAGCAATTGAAAGTATAGATATTTGACAATTTAAATGAGATCTAGTCATCTCACTTGGAATTGGCCTACGCAGCTGAAAATATTTGATCAGCTATAATATTAACGATACAAAGAAAAAAGAGAAGTAAATAAATAAAAAAAATATTAATTCACTAGAACAACCAAATTTACATCAAAGGTGTAATCGAATATTTTTGAGTGGCAGTGTAAATATTACCTAAGTATTACTGTACACCTAATGTTTCATAAGAAGATATTTTTATAAGAAATATAAATGAGAACTTCTTACATCACACGTAGTTAATAATATGTATTACAAGTATACTTTACCTGAAAGGCATTATGAAACTAGTAGAATTAGATTATGTAATATTTTGAAAGGGACCAGCAAAGTGATAGAGTTTTGCAAACAATTTACAGAATTGATTCTACAGAAATGTCCCATGCATTGTGAAACATCTTATATACAATGTAAGAAATAGACTGCGAATGTTTAAGCAATTCCACATTCTTACCAACTAATTTATAACAATTAGAATTAAGTAGTAATTTATTTTTTTTGCAATGGACTTCGTTGTGTTCTAAACACAATGGAAACGTTAGACGCCTCTAGAGTTTCCTGTTTTATTGTTGTGACACGCTGGTTTAGATGTACTTTACATGCAGAAGATTCGCAGTCTATTGTTGAGCATATAAAAAGAAAAATATTCCGCGAGATTGAGCAAGGAAAACGTGAGAAATGGAAGATGACAATAATGTCGGTTTCGATAAGAAACGAAAAATATAGACTGTAAATAATATATATTTTAAACGGGGTGTCACTTGCATCAGGATCGATCTTGATCTTTGAAACACGCGAAGAAGAAGTAAATATTCAAGAATAAAATTAATTGTTTTAAGTATATAAAGAAAACTTCATTTTATACTTGGAAATGTAAATAATATTTTGTAAACTTTAAATTACATTCTTTTAACTTAGGGATTCCATAGACTTTTGAACTAATTACTTTTTTCAGAAGATAAATAGATTGTCTTATTTCTTGGTATTTACACTTTGCTTTGTTTTAAGAATATAAAATGGTTCGATTGCAAAGAACCCTCCACACCCAGTTTCAAAGATTGTGTACTCAGGGTGAGTTTAAAGGAATGTTGTAAAACACAGTATTATTTAGTAACAAGTCCTGATAATCTCGAATCAACGAACGTTCACTTTCTGTGATACAGATTTTTATTTTACAGAAGTTCTATCTTGGCAGCGTTTTCAATATTTACACGTCATTTTCGACTGCACTTAAAGATTCTCTGTGTATCTTAATAATCTTATAATCAATGTTGGAACTTTTCCTTCGAGGTACATTAGTGTTGATATTAAGAACAAAAATATTTTAACTCTCAAAATATTGGAATTATTGTATAAAAATTCTTTTATATGATTTAGTAAAATTTACAAAGATTTATCATAATTTATAATAAGTTTTGAAACACTTGTTTTGTAATTGCTCAGTGATATTTATACAAATAAGGGTTCTCCTATTTCAAAAATCTCGAATACCTTGATTTCTTGAAAATTTGTTCTTTTAAATAAAATTTCAATTAACGAATTTTGTAACGGACTATTAGACTCACTTGGTGTATTGTGTAAGTCATCGAAGTCATTGTGAAAATCAAAAAAGAAATGAATGAAAATAAAACGTAAAAACAGCAGTGCTGTTCGCGTATCTATTAATTATATAAAAATAGCTATAGTTTTGTAAGATAGAGAGTAAAATAAGTTATTCTTTGCGTAAGCGAAATGTTAATAGAAGCACAACGAACGCCATATTTTATCTACGAGACGCAAGTGTCGAACTTTTACCAAAGGTTGCACACAAATATATTTGTACATAAAAGCACTCATTAATTTCTATAAATATAATGTAAAAATAAAAAATATATATATATATACATACTTTATAAACATTCATGATTTTATGTTAGAAAATTATATTTATTCCTTTTGGATAAACCAAAACCGAGAATTATGTAAAATTTTATCGAAGAGGTACAAATTAAATACTTTTTCTATTATTTATGTTTTACCTTTCTTTTCCAAAATCCTTACAAACAGGAACTTCTATTTTATATAATTATGTACCACGAAAAATCCGAAACCTATAATTCAACTATTACTATAGTTATTAATTAATTAATAAATAAGTACAAAAGACAAATGTTTTCGATTCAGAGCCTCGTTATCTTTTTAATTAGTATAAAATACATATCACATGCGTAGAAAATATTTTATACGAATGCTCGTAGGTACTATAATTCGCGAATAAAAGTTCATATAAAAAGGACTGTTTGTAATGAATGCGATGACACAGAGGGTTTCACACGACTGATTTCGATTACGATTTGCAACACACGTTTTTCTCTCGAATCGGAGGCCTGTCTCGTAATCTGACGGAATCACGTATACCTCCGTCGATTCTTGTCTTTAAAACGTTTTCCACTAAATAACGCATCGCCACATCTATACAGAACAAAAAAGAAATCTTTGTAAAACAAATAATATTAGTATAAAATACTTTTCGATAAGAGGATTACATTGCTCTTTTTCCTTTTCCTAAGTTCTTCTGTAAAAATTGAATTTCCAGGGTAAGTTCATTTTGATTTGAATAAGAAAATATTAAAACATTAATATTAACTCTTTGCACTGGACAACACCCATTATAAAAATTCATCATTTTCCAATAAAGTTGCAACATACAGAAAAATCGTACATAAATTTTAAGTTCATAATTTTCCTTGAATTAGATGAGGACTGAGAGTCGCCTCCCGAGTGCAAGAAAATATGTACTAAAACTTTTTAATTTTCCACTTTCTTTTTTAAAATTTCTGGTTCATGTTATTTTACATTGCAACACAAGTATTATAGGTCTGCTATTGCTCTACTTACCAATATTTGTATTCTCTTTGGCTGACGTCACGTACCAAGCGCCTATATTATTCTCTTTGCAAAATTTCGCGATCTGCTCGACCGGTACAGCAGGACAAGGAATGTCGCATTTATTCGCCAACAAAACCACCGGTATATTTGTGCCATCCGGTAGCGTAACTTTCTCCCTTAAATCGGACAACCATTTTTTAATCGACTGGAACGTCGCTATCCGTGATATGTCGAATACTAACGCTGCTGCCACTCTGTATAAAATACAGTAATAATATGGAAGTATATATAAGTATATATATATAAGGAAGTATATATAACAAACCAATTTGACGAATATTAAATTTTATAAACATTATTTGGTAAATGTTCACGTCAATTTCGACTGATACAGTAACACAAATGTGTATTTTAATTGTCTCTTTTTAACTCTTTGCGGACAAAGATTCTTTTAAATATAAAAAAACTGTCAGCAGATGAAGCTAAATGATATGTATCGATTGCTTAGATAATTGGAAAATATCGTATTGCAAATATGACATCTGTCGCCAAAATGTCGACGTTCGTCCCCCAAAGAATTAAAGTTTCGATTTCCAAAGTATAATGAATTAATTTTTCTAAGAACAATAGAATAAACAGTACGATATACGTCCGTAAATTTAGTGTTAAAAATCACTTACGCGTATTTGTAATAAACTCTGGTCATATATCCGAATCTTTCGTGGCCGGCAACATCCCTGGAAATTGAGATTAATTTTTACGAAACAATAATTATGACATGTTTGAAAATTGAAAATGTTGATTTTTATTTTAAATAATTTTAAGTAACAGGAAATTGTTTCTATAAAATTTAGACACCTAATAAATAAATTGTAAATATTATTGGTTAATATTTGATTTGACTGAAAATAAATGTTAATATAAGAATTTCATATATGCAATTTACGTTGTATAAAGAAAATTTACATAAGGGAAATGTGGAAAAAACAGAATATATTTACCATAGTTGTAAATTTATTTTGGTACGTGGATCCCAATCAAGAGATTTTATTGCGAAATCGGCTCCTATGGTAATTTTGTAGTTTGATGTAAACTTTCCTATAAGAATAGTCTAATATTAGCAAAGATCTTAAAAACAATTCATTCAAAATGGCGTATTGAACGAAATAAAAAATATGTGAAAAATTCTTTATTGATATTTAAATTATCATACGCGGTTTACTATTCTTTTAGAAGTATCAATTGAATGAGGATTAAGAAAATTAGGTCAAGAACAAAAATATGGCGACAATTATTTATGTTCAGTGCAGGTGCAGTATGGAATAATACATATGGTAAAACGATTAATATTTCTAAATGACCTTTTGTATTTAGTCTTTTAACAACACAACCCTTCAATTATTTTTAAACAATTCATACATCGATTAGAACAATATTTTTATAAACGACCATTAAATTCGAACTTAACAATTATATTTAAATTTATTCCATAATAAAACTTCAATTAATTCAACTAATTAAGATCGTGTAAAAAATAAAAGGTTACGAAAGAATAAATATAAGTAAAACATAATAAAACAAAGACTTTCGGGAAGATCTATAAAGTATTTCTTTTCTCATATCAAACTTTACTTTAAAATAGCTTACATCTTGACATATAATAATAACAACAATTGCAATTCTCATTACCTTCCGTGTACCTCCTGACTAGCGCGGTTTTCCCTAGAAGAATTCACAAAAGAATTATCAATATCATTCTTCTTTCACATAACATTAAAGTTCGATCACCAACCGCGTTCGTCTACGAAAAAAAAAGTGGTGCTTAAGTTGTTAACTCCTCAAATCTCATTACAGAAGCGAGTCTTTTCTAGTAATCATCACGAAGCGTCCTATCAATCTCATTTCATAGAATAATCCCGGAATAAAAGTGTTTCTCGTGGGAATTACAGGCAAGATTTCTTTGAAGTTTCCACGACCAGGAATACTATGATAAGTGTTCAAAGTTTCCGGATATAATCTGTGTGTTAGGGTTTTACTTTTATACGTTTTTGGGCCCATTACCATTGTTAGGGTTTTAACCCTCTGCATTCCGAATTTCTTTTGCATTTTTTCCTCGATAACTCTTTATTATTACGATATTTTATTTGAAATGCATTTAAAAAAATAGTTAGTTTGTGGAAAGCAGTGTAAACGATTCTTCTTACCAATAATATTGAAAATAACATGATAATATAATCTATTTTAAAAATATCTTAACGAAGAATCACACCTGTGAATAAAACTGATGTCGAGTCACGTTCGACATAGGAGAGCAAGAATTATTATTTAATGATAATAACCATGTCCCTAACTCTCTCTCTCTCTCTCTCTCTCTATATATATATATATATATATATATATATATATATATATATATATATATACACATTAGTACAGTTAGAAACATAGTTATTCATGTATATATATTATTATCATTAAATAATGATTTTTGTTCTAAAACCTTGGTTCTTGTTTTAAAATCCTAACACTGTGTCCATTAGGAATGATTTCTTTAGCATTACAGCTGGCATCATCAGGAGTTTGAGGGCTCACTGATGCAGTAATGCTAGCCGAATTGTTGGGCACGTAAAAAAAGAAATATGACAATAATGACTTGTTGGTTTTGATAAGAACTGAAAAATATAGGTTGTTTTATAATGTATATTTTAACGAAGGTGCCACTTTGCATTAGGATTGATCTTCGTCGTTGAAACACACAAATACTAGTAAATACTTATAAATACTCAAGAATAAAATTAACTGTTTTAAATATGTAAAGAAACCTTTAACATTGCAGCCGGCGTCATCAGGGGTTTGAGGAGTCACTGAATACAGTAATGCTAGCGAAATATCGGGAAATCATCCCCAATGGACACGGCTTACGTCCGGAAACATCGAACGCTTATCGTAATCACAGAAAATCGTTATTCGAAAACGGAGAAATCGGAATTGAAGGTGTGCATACTAACAGAAGCGGCGTAGCACGCAGTCGGTGGCGAATTTTCGAATATGAGGGTATAAAACAGCGGCGACGCACCGACGCCATAGTCGCCGATTACGAGGAACTTGAAGAGGAACTCCTTGTGACTGAACTTCGACAGGACATCCGAATCTCTCCTTGGTTTCCGACCGTTCATTTCCGACTTCGTTGTTCTCCTCTTCTCACGGTCCAGTTAATTGGAATCTATAATTAAATATTTTTAACGCTGCCATATTATTTAAGTGACATGGGGATAGGGGATAGCTAGAGTTTAATAGCAAGACTCAGATGCGGGAACTTCGAAGAAAGGAATACGTATTTACTGGAATGAGGATTGAGAATAGGAAATGTCTAATCTGTAAGAGGGATTTGGGGTCGCTAAAACATTTAATGGAAGGATGTACAGAAGTGAGGAAAGTAGAACTTACAAGGAGAAGTTACGATGAGTGAATATTGAATATTGACGAAAATGGCCGAATACTGGCCTATTTTTGTTGTAGGTTCATTAAAAAGAGTTAGACAAGTAAGTAGCTACAAAATAGAGGTGAACAAGTTACATGGTAAATTTTTTTAGTGGAAACAGAAAGAAAACGAAAGACAAAAATTAAAGAACTGATTAATTTGGCAATATATGAGTTCATGTAAAATTTAATGAACAAATAAACAAAGAATTTTAAATTCGATCATTTGATCCGTTCCCGGTACGATTAGTGTTAATTAGCAGTTGGAATATTGTAGGAACTTCTAATACAAGTATTAAGTGACTAATGATTGAATGATGACACGTTGTGGAATGTGTTTACACGTTCACTATATTGACGTCTGAGCTTGAATTTATAGAAAAACTTTTATTTTATTGGAAATAATAATCGCTTTGTGTATTATCAACTTGTATTTTAATTATTGCGTTGATTGGAGGGCCCGTTTGATTTATTTCCAATACACTGACAGATGGCAAAGTGTTGTCAAACAAAAGGAGTCATGTACATTTCAATAACGCTTAACTTGATGAACTGAAACTTGTTTTTAATCTTTGATAAGCTTACTTTAATAAACTCGTAATAAACAGATAAGCGAAGATTTTTCGATTAGCTCAATAATAATGAACATTGTTGATGACAGAATAATGAAATCGAAAATCGAAATGACAAATAAACTCTAACAAGTATCTAAGTTATAAACAGAAAACAATTATCTTCGTAAATGAGTATACCATTAAAAACTAATTAACCACCAAACAGCTTCTCACAAAAACGGTAACGATACTCACAGTTACACAAAAATAAAGTCAACAACCAAATGAAACCGGTAAACTGTCAGTCACAAGAATAATATATTAAAGTATCTTCTACAATCTTTCTATCCTTAAACAGTGAATGTTGCAAATGATATACTCCCAAGCGACGGTACCCGCGGTAAAACTGCTCCAGATAACATTCAACTATTTTTCAATAGTAAACAGAACGATAAGCGTAGAAAGTGAAAACTTGAAACCGCAGTATCTCAAGATTATATGAAACTCATGACTTCTGTGATCGCAGAAATATTAAAACACTTATCGAGACTGAGGTGAAGTCCTCGAAGTGATAAGAGAAGTTTTATCACTTGTAACTCGTGTACAATCTGTATTTTTGTAAGTGATTCTTTTCCACGGAAATTGTTCTCAATAGAATTCGCATAATGGTCCACGTTTTATTTGAGAGTACGTACCCCGGACGCGAGCACCGCGTTCCTCGTTTGGTGGCAGACTAATTGCAAGTAACCGAGGGGGACAAGGAGCTCGACCTCAAGGGTCGTCTTTCTACCTCCTCAGCTCCCCCGTTTCAACTATCGTCGTCGTAGTGCTATCATCCGACAGCCACTGTAAACACCAGAGATCTCGTAAATATCGATTTCGGATATCGACTCAACAGCTTTTTCTACTTTCCTGCGTGTTATGTGCGGCAATTAGTAAGCTGTTCTTGAAATTTCTGCGGCTTTACTAGTTTTCTTTGATTTAAATAAAACTTTTAATAATTGCCTTTGGTTTAACTAGAACTTTTACTAGTTTTCTTTGGTTTAACTAGACCTACCAAATAATGAATAACAAAAAATTACTATGATTAAAAATATAATCTGTCAATAGGCAAACTAAACCATAACTAAATTGAAATCTCAATAGCCGCACTCTTAGAGTTCCTCTAGAAAATTTGAACAGGTCAATTTGCACCGTGGTTCTAGTGGTAATACATAATGGATGCACAATATTTTCTGTGCAGTCAACGTAACAGATAACACTAACAGTAAAAGACGTGTTAAATGAAATGAATTATGTATAATAATATTCCATTACAATGAAGTTTTCAATAACATCACACCAAACGTCCAAATACTTGTGCACGGTAGCGTATGAATGTATATTTCATGAGAGTTTATTGTAGCGTGGTGCCGGTCGGTTTAGCCGGGGATTAATCAGCTACCGACAAGCGCAAGTGTGCCCGAGAAGTTATTCATTCCAACGATATCGCTTCTATATTGTTCCTCAGCGGTATAATGCCAAGGTTGCCAACAACGCTCGATGTTATTCGGTCGAGTTTATCGTTTCGACATTTCACGCTGGTACCGTAGCACCAGCACGCGAGATTATCGCGTTAACACTAACCGTCAAATGACCGGTTCGAAAATTTAATTAAAAATTCTGCGTTTTCTTTCGTTCATTTAATCCTTAACGATTCGTCGCACAGTCCATTTTAAAAATTGTACCTAAACCGAAAAATTTGTGCTGCTTGAGGTAGCTGAATATGTAAGAAACAATGCCCTACAAATTTTGTTTATCCTTGGAAAATTCGAAAAGTGCTTAAAATTTCTTGCAACACTTTCCATGTTTTGGAGAAGTACAAATTTTTCTTCAAATTAAAGTTTTCAGGTACGTATACACTCTACATTTAATAGCTCATTACCTTTTTACAATGAATCTGTGTGTAAATATCGACATTTTAATGTAACTAATACATCATCGATATTTCATACGAATAATTTTGTCGTAAACATCTAACATTCGTGATTAACACGATTATCATTTTCTTTATTCGCACCTTATAAAATAAATGAAAAGAAGAATTTATAAACAATGACTTATTTCTTTTTAAACTAGATTCCATTTTCGAGCGTTTTACCGTAGAAGTCCTGCTGGGCGATTAACTTAACTTTATATCAACTCCTATATTACCCGATTAATCAGATCTCAATTTTTATCTTCCCTTTTTTTTCTATTTTCACTGACAAGGGAAATTATCGAACCTGAAAATTCAAAAATTCATGAAACTTTGTGTCTAAGTAAAGCAAGTCAAACCTAATACATTGCAATGTTTTTTCGTTATTATAAGGTAAGGAGTTATCTAAATTTTAAGAAAAATCTTATTTCGTCGAATCAAGCTTCATCGAACTATGCATTGAATATTTTACTCGCATAGTTTCTATTGTCCTTTAGTTTACTTATTTATAATATTTATTCATGCGTTATAATATAAACTTGTTGCCCAATCACGTTTGTTTTAAGATACTGATAAAGAAAAGATAATTTTTTTATTTCGATTCGGAAGGATTGTATGGTATTTATATTATATTCAAAGTTTATTTTAGAAGAAGAAATTAAAGGTAATGTGGATATACATAAAAAATACAGTCTTCATAATTAATTTTTATAAAATTTTTCGCTAAAAAATTTGTTTACCAGGTTAACCAAGTTTTCGGGTTTTGAATCGTTAACGTGTCGATTTCGTCTTGAGTGAAACCCTTCAGCAACATTTTCGGTAAGACGTTGTTCAAGATATGAGAGAATCCGTGTCCACCGAACTTCATCTATTTTGGAAAAAGGAAAGGAAGGTGTAACATCGAATTAATATAAGAGGAAATAAATATCTAAGTTCATAAGTAACTCCTAAATCTAATACAAACTACTTTGAACTAGAATTGATCTGATTCAAACTCCAAAATTATTTAAATATAAGCATGTGTTAATTCCTAGTTAAAACAAGTATTAATAAAACTCAGAACATTTAGAACAAAAATATATGCGATGTTAAACATAATAACTACACAGATATAACAAAGTTAAATATATTAAAGTCTAAAATAAAGAATAAAAAGCATTTATTTAAAATTATATTCCTGTTTCTTCGTTAATTATAATACCCATTTCATTTACAAGAAAAGTAAGTTAATTTTTCAATACTTACTAATCTATGCTTGGTATGAATATCGTGGCTCAAAAGTACACGATGTAATTTCTGATCGTCCTGAAGAAGTTTCACGCGATCGATTCGTTGCGCGTCCGACAACATGTCCACCACTGGCATCAACTGATAAAAAGAACATTCGTTTCCGAACAGATCGAATTGGCAATAACATTTCGTCTCGTCGGCAAACTCCAAAAGCTTCTGTTCATCGGTCAAGGTTCCTATTAACATACAAAAATATTCATTAAAAAATATATAAAATTTTGATTTAAATACAAATTTGGATGATATCAATCTTTTGTAAAAGCTTTCGCAGATCTGTAATAATCGATATTAACACGTGCGCTATTTTATTCGATCCAACAAACCTTCTAAACAATATATTGAAAAAATGAAACAAAAACGAATCATTGTATTCCTAAATATAATGCCGCAGTTTAAAACTTTAAATAACAATATATATAGGATTAATTTCATTTTCTTTGTGCAAAATATACGATTGCAGCCGTTATAAATATATAATGTTAGCTTTGAATTAATTAATATAAAATGAAAATAATTGATCATCTGATTCATCGGAAATTACTAAAAAAAATTTGTTACTGGCAGATTACGAATTTATTAAAAATTTCAGATGTTCATTGAGTATGATTTATATTTATATGCAGTTCATTTGCTAAGTAGCAATCACTCAATGTATAGTGTGTAGAAATCGGTCATTATCAATCTCCTATCGTAGATGAAATATTGAAGATACAAGTACTAATTCATTATAACTTATCCAACGTAAGTTCGTACTCATTCATTGTTCTTTTATCAAAAATTTTATCTTGATGGTGAACACGAACTGTCTCATGGAAACACGTGACGGAAACTGTCATAACTGTGATCAGTGCCTCGAGATTCACGACAAAAGATAACGTACAGTATCATTGAAATAAAAACGCATTGATAAAACGGTGAAAATTTGCAAGATAAAAAATTCAGGTATCACGTTTCATAAAGTTATAAGAAAATCAGAAAATGGAAGAAAATATGATTTCAACGTCAATGTAATTTAGATATGTGTCGAGTGAACTTCATTGAGAGTTCTGAATGTTTCATTCGTAATACATCATTCTGATACCGAAGGCAATTAATGTTCAATGAACAATTGAATTCTCTTACAGAGATTCAACATTCGTAATGAATCTACATACGTATTCTCACTTTATTTATGTTCTACTGTGCTTCATTGTTTATCTTATAGTTGTATTGCGATGACCTATGCCGAGATATCATTGAATTGTTTCAGTAACTGAAGCAATTGTAATCTTCATATACTGCACAGCTTTTAAACATCATATAAAAGTTAATCTAACCGTAGTTACTCATGAAAAGATAATTTAATTAAAAGTGATAGGGGCAAATCATTCAGATTTGAATATTGCCGACGGAGGGTTAATAATTATGAAAAAAAGAATGCAAGAATGGATCAATTTCACCCATTTGGTAGTTTCAAATGTTAAAAATGAACGTAATAAAATACAAAATGTCATGAAATAATAATTTAAACGTACGATCCAGATGGGAAAGAATAGCTTTTCCACTGTCTCCGCCAGCTTCTTGGTAGAGTCTCATTATTTCAAAGGGTGCCTCGGCATTTCGTCCAGGATGGAAGCTGACAGGACACTTCAATTGTGCCTGGAGTTCTCCAGTTGATTGTATCGCTCGTTTCTCGAAATCTATTCGGGATAAATACATCAAGGCAATCGTTATACATTTTCAATATTTAATCTTACAACAGAGGATGTTTTTAACGACCTCATACACAGCGGTGTATTGGACTACATGAGTTGTTAGTCACTACATTTTTTAAATACTTTTTCAAACACACTGCTACGAGATGCGTCGATTTCGTTATTCTGTCTGATATATTCTACTATTAAGTTTATCGGAAAATTCTGATCAGTCATTCTACAGAAATGGAATTCACGAATTACCATCACGCTGGGAAGAGGTCATTAGTAACGATGGAAATTATATTGTTCAGTAAATATTAATAAATGTATTAAAAATGTATTATTTCCTTTGAATTCAAAAACGGTCAGAACTTTTCGGAAGACATAATATAAACGCAAGTAAGGTGTAAATAGATGAGAAGAAAAATCAAATTGTTAAGGATGAGAATGGATCCGAACAATTGCAATAATATTCGATAATTAAAGTTCTCTACAGACAATAAAATATTAGCTTGGAATTGATCAGTTATAAATGACTATCTTCGTTGATACTGTTAACAGAAATAATAATTACATTTATTTTCTGAAAGTAATATGAAGTGTATCTCACAGTAAGTTATTTATAAATGTAAATACACACCTTCGATTGGCCAAGTGCTTCCAACTTCTCCGATGAATCCTGTTTTTACGTCGGGACATTCAACGCACCCGACGGTCATTTCTTTCAGCATCACATTGTACATTTTTTCTTTGGATAGAGCAAGATCGCTTTCACTTTGGGTAGCAGCAACGTAATAACCTGGTGATTAACGAAAATAATAGGCGCTCGAGAAATTAGAAAGTGGAATAAGTAAATAGTAGGCAGACAAATAGTGAAATTGCACCTCCGTAGAACAAGTCAATTGCACTTCGTTGGAAATTGATTTATTCATTCATTCAAATCGCCTTGCATTTTTTAAATAAGTATCTGTGTGTATTTTCTTTTCGTACTTGTTAATATTAACACTAAAACTATTGAACAGCTAAATTAACTTTTTGAAATTGCTCTATAGAAACTCCAAGAGTGCATACTTTGAGACTTTAATTAATTTACAATTCAGTTTGCGTATTGCTAAATCAATTTCTTTAATAATTTTTCAGAGAAACATATGTTATTTCTTTAATAATTGCAAAAATAAAAAATAAGGAATAGGTAATTTTGTCCCTTCTAGTAGTTTATGTTAATAATAAATATTTTTTTTCATCCAAACTTTCATATTGAAAATATCAATTTCACGTATACAAACGCGACACTCAGTAGACAATAAAATTAATAAAACTCACACCTGTCCCAGCAATGAGATTTACTCCAGTTTTCTTACTAATTTTTTTCATCAATGGAATGTTACGTTTCAGGCCGTGATTACTGTTCTCTACGATGGTACCGCCGCCAAATTCGTGATAAAATTTTACGTCTTCCAACACGGCGTCCATCGTTGCCTCATCATTAAAATTTAAATTATACTTGCTGCTGTAACTGTAAACAAACATTAGACATATCTTTATTATTTATTATCAACAGTATTGAACTAGTATCTGTGAAATCTCGAGAAAGTGACCTTAAAAGAATATCTCTCACTATCAAAAATGCCCCTTTCAATAGTACAACTTCGTCCTAAGAAGTTTATCTTTAATTAAAATTAACAAAAATATTCAGTTACCATTTAGACACCCTGTACATTGATTACTTTGCAATTAATTGAATAGAACATAATAATATAATGTAACAAATACGATAAGTAGTAGTAGTTTATATATTTCTTACGTATAAAAAATTGAATATGTATAAACACATGCAGCCAGCTTATCAATTCTATAACTGTCAGACTTATCACTCGACCGTATTAAGATAATAAAAATGCATAACAATGGAAGATAAGATTTGCCATACTCACGGGTATTGCCTTAAAACGCCAAGAGTTTGAAGCTCGATCTTATCATCTATAAAGCGCTTCAATTGAGACGGAGGCGGAATGTAAAACGCATCGAAGGACATAGCCAAGTGCTCGTGGGTGAGAATCCTGCCAAGCTCGTTTGCATTTTTTTCTTCGAGAACTGAATAAATCATTTACACTCGATAAATAAAGATGAAACGCCAATTATAGCTAGACTGTAAAAGTTTATGCAAATGTACGCGTTGAGTACAAGGTTTTCAGTAAACGAGAAATATATGTAGTCTTCATTTGGCTTAAAATGAATTCTGTATGGACCGAATTTTTTTTGTTAATGAATATCAACCTATGAATACAAATTAACAATGTATTCAACAGTCTTAATAATTTTATTGAAACGAATATATTTTGTAACTTTCCAGTTACAATGACGTTGAACATTTACGCCTGCGTGTATAAAAATTTAAGTTGATTAATTATTTAATTTCATTCGTCGTTTTGCGGTAAAAAATTAAATAAATTAATAAAATCTCAGTATATTGGTGTGTCTCTTCAAATTCACACAGACCTATAGAGGATTAAATAGATTCCAGTTTATTATATTACATTTGTCTATTAACATCCTTCTACTTCCATTTAATGATTTCACTTTATTGCTTCCAATTGATGAATTGTTATGCTTTGTTTTTATCAATTATTTACACAATACAATTTATATAATTCTACAACTAAATCGAATAAGAAAATTCTCCAAATGAAACTCTAATCATTTCGAAGAATATTAACAGTGAGATATTTCTGGAAATAAATATTCTTTAGGAGAATTGAAATCTCCGTTTGATATCCTCACCAGTTTGTACGTGGCCATTTGTGTTCGCCATGTTCCCTTCGAATGTCTGCGATTATATTCCTTTTGAAAACAATATGCAACTCGGACACTTAAAGATAACAAGATAAAAACGCTTTAAAATTCACAGTCGACGGTGTAGCGCGAAACTTAATGATTCTACAAGCAAAATCGATCGAAGAATCCTTTTCTGATGAAGAAATTCATATGTTTCGTTTCTTGCTCGAACCGCACCATATAACTCACTAATGTTATGCAACAAACATGCAGAGAGCAATGCTTTTATTTGAACGCGATACGATGTTTTTGTCAGACCTTCGAGATAATGTTCCTTTTAATCACCAGGATAAAATTAACGATCGCATTAACGAAAATCTTATTCAAACATTTGTCCCCGTATCTTCTTCGACCAATACTGTGAACTGTAGCACACTTATAACAAAGATAATTCTTTGATTTATTATTATTTAACGATCACGTTATACGTTCCCTAAAACTCGCTGTACAGGGAAAAGTGTTTATTACTTCTGGAATTTTTTGATTTTCTTCAAAAGAAGATACAGTTCCTACAAAATCATACTTTTTCTCAATTTGAGACAATCCAGTTGACCAATTTTAACATATAATACCGATGATTTCAACAGGTGATAATATTAAAATATATTATTAAATATATTCAATCATTCATAGTATTTGTAATTAAAATTTTATAATTGAAATATAAATAATTCGTTTGTATATCTTTTCGAGAAAATCAATTTCACAGTATTCATAATTAAAAATGAATAAGTAATAGATTCATAATTAAAACAATTTATAATTAAAAGAAACTAATGAAATAAAAAGTACTACGATTTGTAACGTTTACTATACCAGTTTTTTCAATTATATCCATTAACTATAATTACATGAAATATAAATTATTTATTCGTATATTTTTACGAAAGAAGCAAATATTTTTTAACCATTGAAATTGGATACTGTTCGATAATGATTACTTTTTTGTGGAATAAAATAAACATCACTGAACAGTAATTGTTTTTGGGGAATCAAATGGATGCTGTTGGACAATAATGGTTTTTCATGAAATAAAAGGAATCAATCTGTATCATACAAAGTGCAGGCCTTTATTTTTGCACGTACATCTGTTCGTAACGAGTAACACGACAACGTTCCATAAACTCGCTTTAACCTGATTTTCGTTTAAATAATTATTATTAAGAAGCAAAGAACCATATCTTCTTTTTTTTCTCTCTCGGTGTCTGATTTCCCCTGATCGATTTCGTGAAATCCATTCCACTTAACGTAAAAACACATTGTAATAAACAACTTCCAATCTTTCGAGTCCGTAGCACGGTGTTCGCCTTGTTTCTTACAACTAAAAAGCGTATGAAACTCTCTCCGATGTGACGTTTTCGTTGAACTACAATCGAAACGAGAAAGGAAGAATAAAAAGAACGGCGAACAGAATAAATAAATAATGCGAAAGAAAAGGAAAAAGAAAAAGGGCTAACAATGAAAAGTGAAAATATACAAAAGCGTATCCCAATTAATATTTCACATCGAGTTTCACGGTTCTTCTAATACGGCGGTATATACACAGGTATCCTTTGCCAGAGAAACGAAGGAAAAATTCATTTTTCGTTTCACTAAACTTCATGCTGAATTATTAAACCGCGGAAATTTGTAGCTCTCAAAATTTAACAGATCTACGAACAGAAGAACTTAATTAACGACTTTCCTTCGTCGTTTACTAAAAACCGTTAACATTTATCACAGTTTTTATTTTATTGTTTCATATATATTTGTCATAAATGCATAAATTCTGCAACCTGTTAATTGCATTCCTATTTCAACTTCCAATATTCCTTTTAATATTTAAAACACAAATTGTAGAAGTTTCTGTTCTTTCAGTTTCAAACTGACACTTCCTCCACATATAGAAATTAAAAGAAATACATTGAAAATTGAACGAATTAGCCTGGCTTAAAATAAAATTTTACAACGATATTTTCATCCTTCGCCTTTAAAGAAAATTTCAAATAACTTATCAGTTCGTCGGGCAAAGGAGAATAATATAGTAATACGTTGAAGTTGAAGGGTATACAGAGTCAGCAATGTAAATTCTTTTAGAAAACAACATAAAAGCTAAAAACTCTTTTTTCTACTCTCTACGATCATACGATAAAAACCAAAATAATTTCTCTATTCCTTTCCAAGTGATTTCTGTTTGTAACAATTTGTACAAGTGTATCATGCATGAAACGATCAAAGAATTGGGATACGCTTCGATTGAAATTGAAAAAAAATAAGACGGACGAGATGCCGCATCACATATGTATAAACTTATATATTATGTATATGTATACATATATGTATATATACATGTATATATATGTATATATATGTATATATATATATACATGTCCTTGGTTGGCAATTCGTCTATGTGCTTCAAATACGTCTCATTTCCATCGAAATCACACAATACAAAATGTTACGACCTCTTTTCGTCGGGCAAAAAAAATTTTCATGCAAACGTACACGTAAATCACAATATATTATTTTCGATTCACGACGCTCGACTGATTTTCCTATCACTTGCAAGCGTCACTCGAGCATCGTGCGTATCTCCGCGTTTCGGTGGGGAACGTATCACGACGAATGAATCGTTCTACGTACAATTAAATAATTCAATAATTTGAGGAACTCTCAAAGTCTAGAACAGAAATTTATTGAACCAGCTGATCGTCCCGAATAAACATTCTACAAACGTCGAATCGCAATCGTCAATACGTAGCGAGATTAAATACGCGTCACATTCGAGCAAAAATTAAAAATCACATTGCGTCAGGAAGCAATTGGACATGTTAAAACGAAACTACTAATTGGTAAATCTCGTGATCATAGAACGCATTTTATTTCGATCAACAGGTGGGTTTCATCATATAAATATATGTTGTAGACTTTCGAGTTATCCGATAAATAAATGTCTGCGAGTACGATTGGATTTCACTCGTCCGCGATCATCGTTGGACCGTCTCTAAGATAGTCTAGCTGATGACCACGTTTCACGACGAGAATTGCACGATCGTCCAGTGTAGCCACGATGGCCAAATGAAAGAAAATTTAAAAAAAAAGAAAAGGAAGGAAAAAGTATTGCCGTAATCGCTAAATTAACAACGGTAATTATATGGATAATAGTACTGACAGAGCACTAAGAATAATAATAATATTGATAGTACAGTAATTAATAATTTACATATACACTTCCACGTACTTACTTATTTACTCAGTTAATTAATTATATTTCCTATCTACATACGGCATGCTTATGTTTACACTCGCCCATCCTTCAAACGCGATACAGTCTGTACTCAGCCGTAAACTCTTAAACGAAAATAATCAAACGCTCGAATGTATTCTATATATCTATAAAAAAAAGTAAGATGAGTAATTGTAAAAAATATACAGAGGAAAACGCGTAATGTACAAATCGATAAAATAGATATTGCGGAATTTTTCTCTCGCTCCCTTCTCCCACTTTCTCGGTCATTTTCTCGCTTTCACTCTCTCCCTCCCTCTCGCTCTTTATCCGGAGTTTATCGATTACTTGAAACGTGTACCGTTTCAAAGCGGATACGAAAAAGAAAAATAAGTGTCACGATCCAGAACACGGATAGACAATGCTCTGCATTTTTTTGCTTTTTAGTTACCTCAAGGGACGCGGTACTACGAGACTAAGGAAAATATTATAAATATTAAAAGTTTGATAACAAAGCACTGCTTAGATGAAATCGATGAGTGCACGGAAGTATGAATTCCAGAATGAGCTACGTCAGTTTTTGAAAAGTAATTGATCAGACCCGATCAATAGAAAAGATAAATAGTGACACGCACGGTGACGCTTCATTCTGTAGCAATCTTGCAGCCAACAGGATATCTTCATAAACTATCGTCGCTGTCGTCAGCGTGAGCTTCGACCGAGACGTTTCCGGCAGGGCTTACGACACTTCCTTCTCTGTTATTTTCAATCTCTTGTTCCATTGAGTTATTTTGCGCCTGCTGCTCGTCTATGTAGATAGTAATATAATAAAAAGAAACATGTAAGTATTACTGAAGACGTTTAAAATTTATTAGATTGGAAAGATTCAATTATGTATAACAGTATGTCCAAACTAGTATTCTCTTAGATAAGATATAAAGTGTAAGGTAATGTATATATAGATTTTTTCAAAATTTAAAATGAAAATGGACAAATACGAGATATGCCTTGATAAATTTGCAACGATTTTTCTTAGATATTAAATTAATTACCTGACTGCGTGGCCGGAGATTCTTCGTCTCCTTGACCTGGATTTAATATAGCTTCTTTGATTTGACTGTTGACACCCTTTGGATCTAAATCCGACGCCCAACTAAAGTACATTAACGCGAGATGCGTATTACCCAACTTTTTATGTACCTGAAGAAAGGTAAACTTTAGTAAAGAAACAACAAATATAACATAAGAAATGATCAATATAAATAATAATAATTCATACTTTTCCTATCGAATAATAGACTAGAGATTCTTTGGGTACAATATTTTTCAATTCCTCGAATTCGCTAAGCGCTTCTGCGTGCCGACCAATTGAGAAATTAATGCTTGCACGATGAAACTTGCATAAAGTATTGTCGGGATCGTTCGCGATAGCAGCATTCAAAGTCTTTAAAGCTTGGTCAGTTTTCTTCAGTGCATTTTGTACAACACCAATGTGGCACATTATCGCAGAGTTCTGCGGATTAATTTGTAAAGCACGTTTAAAATGCAACTCCGCCAGACTATACTGTTCTTGTTTAGAAAATATTGTTCCTAATCCAAACCTGTAAAGCAAAATGCATATTATAATCACAGAAAATTTTGCCTTATCTTGAGTATACAAATTCATTCCTATATCTTGCATGATTTTCGTACAAAAGTTTATTATTTCAATTAAACATACCATGCATTATAATGCCGTGAGTCAAGCCTGATGGCGCTACGAAATGCGGTTATAGCCTTATCCAATTCTTCTGTCGTTACATACTCATGACCAAGAAGTGTATAGGCATATGGAAAATTCGGATCCACCTATGGATATTGTAATCGATTATAATTTTGTATTGTTTATTAATATACTCAAACGAATAACATACCTGAATAGCTCTTTGAAAGAACTTGATTGCTGTTTCATGTTCCGTTTGCGCGGAAAATAAGTTTCCGGTAGCACACCATGCAGCCGGCGAATTGCGATCTTCGGAAACGAGTTCTTGTGCAAGAGTAGAGAGCTGAACTTCAGCATGTAAATGCCATAGTACTGTACTATAAATTTCCATGAGTTCAGTCCTCTGAGGTTCCAACTGCCTTACCTCTGCAAAATAACTATGTACCAAAAAATAATAAGTTACAAAAGAATAATAGATTAGTTTAACTTGAATTTAGATAGAAATTTCCTAAATGTTTACCCAGCTGCCTTTTTATAATCACTCATTTCGAAGTGTGCACGAGCTAACATCGATAATACCCATCCTGTGTTATAATGTTGTGCTGGGAGAATACCTAATATCTCAACTGCTTGAGCACATTTGTACTGACTTAAGTATTGATATGCCAATCCTAGTTCACGAAGCAGTGACATTAAACCTTCTAAAAACACAAAAATCGTATTCTTGTAATTGACATAAAAAAATAAATGCCCTTTCCAAAATAATGATATAACGACAATACATACCAGCACATTGTTTCTGGAGTGTTACAGCACAGAAATTGGCATTACTTTGATTGTTCAGTGCATTTACATTAGCTACAGCTTTTTCCGATGTAATAGTTTCCGATTTTTCTTTCTCGTTTCGGTTTCTTTCATTTAATTCATTCAAATTGGCTTTACTTAAATTAGTCTTTGAGAGTCTAGCTTTTGTTTTCCGAGATGGAGATTTAGGCGTAGCAAATTTATTTCTATTTGGAGACTTATTGTTTTCCTAATAATAGCAAACACGCGTCAGTTATATTTCTTCGTAGGTTATTTATTACACATAAATATTATTAATGATTAAAAATTTAAATAAGCCACTAATTACCTTGACTGAATAGCTATGACTAAACAGCCTTGATGAACGCCTAACATTGGTACCTTGTAACGTTGGTGGTGCCGGTGTTGGTGTAGTGGGCGTCACCGTCACAATATTTGCACTATTACTTGTATTTCCTGACTGTGAAAATACTGGCTTCCCTTGTTGTAATGGTGTTTCTTTCCTTGACATCAACTGCTGTAAATCAAAATATTACGTTATACATTGCATAATACATGTTTAAAAATTCGATAATTCTTATTGAGTCTTACCCCCACGTGAGCTCTTAAACTACTGACGCGTTTTACTAAACTTTTCTGATCGTTAGCTTCTGTAAGTGTGGTATGCGATGGTAACACCGTTGGCTCAGGTGTATTACTTTCTAATGGTAAAATGCCAAAACTCGGAGTAAGAGGACTCATGGTATTATTGAACATACTACGGTACCGTGGAAGTTTAGCTCTTGGTGATATCGAGGAACAATTACTGTAATGTGTAGGTTGATTTTGGGGACTTTCATCTACAGATGAGTATAATCGTACAGTAGGTCCTATGCCATTCATAACAGTTGACGCTGTTGTCATTTGTGCAGGTGTACTACAAAGTGTAATAATAGTAGTAATAACAATAACAATAACAATAACAACAACAATAATAATAATAATAATAATAATAATAGTAGTAGTAATAATAATAATAAGAAGAAGAAGAAGAAGAAGAAGAATAATGTATTTTAATGGAAATGCATATCTTATTAATTACTATATACATACACACTGATGCCATTCATAGTAGGTGTACCACTTAAATTGTTCGTAGGTACAATGAGATCAGAGTCCGAGGCATAGGGGGGAACAGATACACTACCATGGCACATTGTAAAATTATCTAATTTATCTAGTTGAAAAACTTTTGCAGGTTCTACAACTTCGCCAACATTGCATAATTCTTCAAACGAATGCCACAGAAATGGATTCAGTTTTAAAGCCAATTTATGTGCATCATTTCCTTTCGTAGTACGCATCATTTTGTAATAAATCTTAGCTATGATCTGAAGTGAAAAACATGCGTGTTCACCAAACTGAGTTACAATTTCTTCTAAATTTTTCAACTGTTTATAATATCCCCCTATTATCGCCGCTTCTGCTTCTGCATATCTAAAAAACAAAATGTTAAATTGTACCTTAACACCGAAACTATAAAAGGAAAAGAATAACATTGTACTTACTTTTCTAAATCGTAACAACACTTGGCCAAAAGGAATCTGCATTGCGCGGAGCTTGGAGCTTTTTTTGAAAGCAACGCATACGCTTGTCTAACTTGTCCCGAACGATAATAACATGTTGCCAAAAGGAATAAAGTTTCTTCTGTGTCAACTATAAAATATTTTTATTAATATTGTAACCATGACGTGCAGAAATTAATTATTCTAGATATTTATAAAACCAAAACACTTGCCTTCCGCGCACAATCTTTCTGCTAAAAATATTGCATCTGGATAAGCATAATGATTTAAACAATGCCATATGGCTGCCTGTAATTACATGTATCATAATATATTGACAGAACATATAAAAGCACACAACAATGAAAACACTATATTACAATGCCATTATAAACGTGAAAGTAAATACATACTGTTTATATAATTACTCTGCACTAGAGTAATGTAATTAAGATACACTAAAATTGAGTACTGAACATCAGAAAAAATTGTAAACACCGTAAACATTTGGACTTATTTATAGTCATATCCCCTCCCGTTTACGTCCATTTCGCAAAAGCAAACAACCCTAAAGTACACCCTCACGGAAAAATACATTTAATGATATTATGATAATGAATTATGATAACATAGCCCAGGGTGTATCATCGAGAAAGGAACGGAGCATCGCGTCGTGTTACGAAAAATGCGAAAACATTTTTCAGTTGAAAGGGAAACGTACGTGTAAACCGTTTCAATTTCTGATGTCAGTATCAATAAGTGTGGATGCGCCCCGATAGAAAATCGCACGTCACTGGCAGTTTCCCGTTAAACTCTAATGATTTTACCTGCACTGGCTCCTGTACGATCATTGTTCACACGGTAGGCTTGGTCATATAAGAATAATCTCGAACGTTTCAAGGAAATTTAACGAAGAAAATCCAAAGTCGAATGACTGCTATGTATAAAAATTTCTTAGGAGTCCATCTTTGCTCCGATTCTTTTGAAGTGAACACCCAACTTCAGGACGAAGGCATACCAACATCCCAGAAACGTCAATTTCATGCAAAATTAACAGTATTTATACTTATAAATGTTGTGCCTGTTCAGAATTCAAATTTCGATGTATTCTCACAATTACATTTTCAATACAGATAATTTTATACGTTACCGAACGTTAATTAGTAATTTGATATCAAACTCTATAATACATTGAATATATTATAATCAAACTTATATTAATTATCCGTATTGTATGTTTGCTTAAATATTAAAGTCTTACCAAGGAAATACATTAAGTTTGAAAAATTATTCGTAACACTACTGTTAAAATAATCACAATATTATGTAACTAATTTTTATAATTAAGAACTTACTTATTATGTGGTACATGTTTTTTTATAACGTTTATTTTTAATAACACGATATATTATAAAATAAGTTTCATCCGTAAATATCTGTATAAACCGTTCGCCAGATTGGTTGGTAATCTGTGTGTATTCGATTCCAGTAAACTTCTTCCTATGGACAAGACAATGTAAATCAAACGCGATGTCCAAAACTTTTTAATTTGATAATAGAAAAACATTAAAAAATATTTCATAACTACAATACATTCAGTAATATTTATAATACATAAATACATTAATAAGTTTAAAGTATAGTTACATGTATATGTATCTATATACCTAGTATTTATTGACACAATTTAATTTATCTAATTGAAGTATTGAAAAATAAGTGTTGTCTTATGTATTGTGAATATAATTTCAAAATATATTAAAGGCAGAACATTTTATTGGAATATGAACATAAACAAACAATTGTTTACACAATTTTCTCATGAATTGTGTATATGATAACTATGTAAGTATCTACATACATATAAAGATGCATTTAAATATAATTTACATATGCAATATTATTTTACAGATTTTAAAAATAGTAAAATTAAAAATTATGTAATATTTTATTTTATAAGAATGTATTGTTTATTGCGTCCTTGCTTTCATAGAAGTTTTCGACTGATAACAAAAATCAAATTGACATACGTCTGTGTTTGTATCGGTTTCATTGTATTACTTGATTTTTTCGGGGCATTCACACATTTTTTTGAAATCTCATATCATACAAGTTTTGTTTACCCGTATGAAGAAGATGTGCATGAATTTGTGAGTGCATTAAGACATAATGAAGAACCAAAAGTTGCACCTATATATGAGTACAATTACACATTTGTAATTAACAACAAACAAAAATGTATAGACCCAGCATACAACAATTATCGTGTTGTATATATAGTAAAATCTGCAATAGAACATTTCGAGAGAAGACTGGCAATTAGGAACTCTTGGGGTTTTGAAAAAAGATTCTTTGATGTACCTTCGAAGACAATTTTTATGTTAGGCGTACATTTACATGATAGTGAACTTCAAGCTAAGGTTGAAACAGAGGCTATGAAATATAAGGATATTGTACAAGCCAATTTTACAGATTCTTATTACAATAATTCTATTAAAACAATGATGGCTTTTAAATGGTTAGTGAAATATTGCTCAAACTCGAAATTTTACATGTTTGTTGATGACGATATATATGTTTCTGTAAAAAATGTTTTGAGATTTATAAGAAATCCAGCTAACTACCCAGATTATTTTAAAGAACCCAAAAAGATTGGAGCCCATAAAAGAGAAATCAAAGTTTCTGACGAAGCAGAAGAATCATATTTTAAAAATACAGTTGCAACGAGGAATAGCAATTCTTCAAATACAAATCATGTTCCTAAAAATATAAAAAATACTACAAATGAAATTATTTACAAATTGACACAAAATGATTATGTTAAGACAGAACATACAGGACCTATGTCTACTAATGCACCTGCAGAGATACTTAAAAGTAAAATAAATGTTACGAGAAATGATATTGTACCAAACAGAAGAAAAAGACAAATTTTTGATTTTGAACTTCCAGAAGATATTAGATTGTATGCAGGCTTTGTGATAATATCTTCACCTCATCGTCATAAATCTTCTAAATGGTATGTTCCTCTTAGTGAATATCCTTATCATTTATGGCCACCGTATATTACAGCTGGCGCATATATATTGTCGAAGGAAGCCCTATTAGAGATGTATTATACTAGTCTTTATACAAAGCACTTTAGATTTGACGATATCTATTTAGGCATAGTTGCTAAGAAAGCAGACATTGAGCCTTTTCATTGCGAAGAGTTTCATTTTTCTAAAAAAGATTATACAAAATTTAATTATAAATATGTAATAAGTTCTCATGGATATGGAGATCCAAGTGAACTATTAAATGTATGGAATGAACAAAAAGCTCTTGGCAATGCTTAAATTCAAAATTGTTTTTAGTACTATTTGAAAATTACACAGTATTAATAAAACATAATAAATTATTATAAATTAATAAATATTTATTATACTTTATATATATTTATTATTGCACATTTATGGTCGATATTGTTGTTTGTCCAAGATTGCCTTAACTAATGCCTGGTCCAATTTTGTAGCCTCTCTCTTAATCATATTCAATAAAAGTTGTGAACTCTCCAAAATCTACAATGAATTTAATATTACATTTCATGTCTCTTGAAAAAAAAAAATTATAAACTCTTAATAAAATATCTATTTTATTTGAAAAAACATAAACAGCAAAAAGACGTACCTTTATATACGCAGTTTCTGTATCGGCGATAGTTTTATCATATTCGTTTCTAACAGCTATCCTTTTAGATAAACTATCATTCAATCGTGTTAGTTTATAAGATAAATTTTCTATTTCTCTTTGTAAATTATTTTTTTCTTCTTCCTGTGCTTCAATTTGTGTTTGCAACTCTGTACGCCTTATTTTCATATCCTCTAAACCTAAAAATATTTTGACGACTATTACGAAGAGATTCAAAATAAATGGATTTATAACCCTGAACGTTGTAATTAAAATTATGAAAAAAATAATTATTTAAAAACTGGTAAATACATCGTTATCAAGTTACGATGTAAAATGACTATCAAATGAATGAAACTTTTAATTCGTTAGATGTATAATACATGAATAATTAAAAATTTGTAGGTTATATGACACTTCTTACATTTTACAAGTTCTTGATTATATGTTTGTAAAGCAGCACCGTGCTGAGACATTTCAAACCCTCCATGCACAAATTAATAATCACAATATTTATGTAATAAAAAAACGATTTTATTCGCTGAAAAATTTAACTGACAATTTACTTCAAATAACATGAATACGATTAAACAAACGTTTCAGTTTTGCCGCGAACCTCAAGAGACGCATGCGCATTTGTTGACATGAAATTATTCACAGCAATTTAAAAATTCCAATGCATACTTAAAATTTATTTAGAAGTTCAAATATTTCACCATAACAGAATTATTAAATTATTAAGAAACAGTAGATTCTAGAGTCTTATTTACATCAATATTTCTGCTGCAGCCAAAATATTTATAAGCGTTTATCCAATAATTTTCGAAACAATAACTACATGGTACTCGTACGAAAAAAATTATCCAAATAGAATGTTACGGGCATTCACAAAAACTTTCAACGTATAACACGTATATGTTAATAAAACAATATTTATTAACCATGAACTACTGCAGAAATTTGTATATTGTAGTATAAGTTATAATATAAGTATTGAATAATAAAATTGATGATAACAGATAAATTCCTCGAGTGTTATTGTCGTAACATTCCTTTAATGATTCCTCAGCAACAAAGAAACCTCAATTCACACATTGATTCTCATGTGTGCAACAGAAATTGAATTTACAGAAATAAACATCATCTAATGACAAAATCCACATTCACGTAAAACAATGCAACTCCTTGCCTTGCCTTTTAAAGGCGTCGCAAAGTGTTTTCGTTCGACGGACTACAATAAATGCACCTTTCGCTCGGAATCTTCACTCCAGCAGAAAGCGTGAAAGCCGCAGAAACGTGTACAGTCGTGATCTCTGCCTCCGTCGATCGATCGGTTCTGAATAAATCAGTATTTTCCGATCCGTGATTAAAATGATTCCGTGTGTACATTTCGAGTGATAGAAGTACAGTGTTTCATTAAAGGTATACAATATACCGAATACCGTTACAGTTAATACGTGCAGAATCAAACGCTCGATATGTTCCAGTATCACTGTACGATTGACCAACGCTTTCTAGTGAAAGAAACACGTTTTATGCATAAACAACTACACACAACCACTTGAGAAGCTCTTACGCGAAATCTCGATCGATAGCTTGCAGATCAACCTTACTTTCAACAGGTTTCTTTCGACATGGATATCGCAGGTATGACAATTTTAGGATTAATTATAATTATAGTATCCATGCCATTCACCTGAACACCTGTAATCATATTGAATCTCGTATATCACCTTTTCCTGCGAACACTTTTCAACTCAATCTCTGTGTTATCGTAATTATGTGGCTATAATATGAAAATCCATGTGAATTGGAAAGCAATATGTATTGGATGCTATGTTGACAGGATTTATGGCGCTTGCGCAGGTAAATTATTCGATCTTATCCTTTTGAGCGTTTAAGAATTTTGTATCCTTGTCGAATTAGAAATGGTAGAAATGTAAGATGGAAAAAATGAAAAGTGTTTGTAACGATAAAGATGAAATAAAATGATAGCTTGGTTTCAATACAATTTTCTTATTGTCATTCGCGTGAAACGAAATACACATATAAATGAGATTTTTATTGTAAATGAAATGAAAATTGTCGAATATAATATGCTAACAATATAGATAAATAAAATTTAAAGAATTTAAATGGAGAATGAAAACATTTAGATTGTACAGAATAATGGTGACAATTGCATTCAGAATAATTCCGTCACCGATCGAAGATGCATTGCGACCTTGTCAAATGACATCACGATACTATATTAGGCTTTCTTTACCGGCGCAAGTATATTACAACATACACCATACGATAGAAAGATTTTATGATAATTACACGCTTTACAATTCATTTGTAAAGGATGCCACTCCTACTTTGTTGCCCACGTATCATTTTAAAAATTCAAACTGATCGTGTATCTTCTTAAATAAACAATGTATAATTAATATTGGACGCATTACGTTTTTTTTATTATAGAATAAGTAATAATAATAAATAATTTTATAATAATGTTATCCGGTTATCAGAAAATTAATTTTCGATTTTTTCCAGAGTATACACCCTAGAATAATTAATTATTAATTTCCTTGCAGGCAAATATAATAAATAACATTCAGATAGGCTCAAAATTATTTGTTGATATAAGTGTCAATAGAAATGTTCTTTTATACTATTCAGTATCTGCTATGTAAGTTTCCTGATTGTACATAATAAATTTGAAATATTTCATACTATTACATACTACATGATTATTTTCAATTTAGGATTATATTTTAATTTCTATTTTACTTTTTTTCTAGTTATGGTACATATTACCAATATATGTAATTTGAATTGTTCATTAATCTTGACATTTTTATAAACAAAACAAGACAATATAGTCATATACAATGACTCACACTTCAAGATACGTAGGATACCATGCTAGTACAAATCGTGACTATTTAACAGATGGAGATGAAAGTCATCGTGCTCCATCAGATCGCACAGTATCTGAATATATTGTATCAGTCGATCATGCTACAATGGTAATTAGCAAATGCATATTATTTTCATGTATAATTGTCAACTGATGTAAATTAAGTATAGATAATATTGAATATGTACCTATAAAATTGATACACTACATATATACATATGCATACATCCCATAGGTAAAAGGAATGAAAAAAGACCGTCCAGAAAAATATGAAAAGGATGAAGGAAGACGATCACGAAGCACACACAACAGTCGTGTTTCAGTATTATCTGGATCATCCAGACAAGGTCTACATCCTCTTAGGAAGAGTGCTTCACATGGTAGTATATGTGACAATGGTTCAGACATATATGTTACAAGCGCTGCTTATAGGGCAACATCAGATATAAGGTTGTAGATACATGAACAGACAACATTCATAAAATAACAAATAAAATTACAAATATAATTATTTGATCAACAGCCATGTATCGCATCACAGTTTATCTCCAAGTTTAAGAATGGGTCATCGAGCACCTAGTCATTGCAGTTATGGTTCTGCGAAATCGGTGAAGTCTCACACTTCTAGGAAGGATGGTATTATTATAGAAACTATGTCGACGCCTAATCCATTTTGTCCGAATACCAAGGGAGTTTGCTGTCTGATGCTACTACTTAATCTTGGCTTAATTCTCGTTACCTTAGGTTTTGTTATAGTAATTCAATTCTTTCAACCGTTAATAGTTTGGTAAGCATAAAATTAACAAAAGTTAGTTTATTTTATATGTATATAAAATGTATATATACGTGGTCTATCAATTTACTATATTACCATTTTTCAGGATTCTGGGGATAATCTTTCTCATATTTGGATTTTTAACTTTGATAGGAAGTTTAATATACTGCGTACACGTATTTAGAAATGCTAAACATCCACACGATATTAATCCAGAAGACCTTTATTGGACAAAATATTGGCAAGGTCATGTAGGTTCAGCACCTGAAGTGTATTATAAGGCCGAAGATAAGTATCAAGATGATGGTTACAGTGATCGCTTAAGCAAATATTCAAATAGATATTACGATCGTCAAAGATACTGAAAATATTTAGTTTAATGCGAAACATAAATACATTCAACATATTTATATTACGCATACAATCACCAAACATAATAATATAAAAAAACTTACACACAGAAGTAATTCAAGATGAAAAAAAATTACCTACCATGCATAATTCTGTTATTAACATAGAATATAAGGTATAACATGTACAATTATATTTTGTATAAAATACTAAATTATTTATTTTATTCAGATTAATCTAAAAATAATAAAATATCATTTATGAATTAGGATGTTTTGATTTGTATGTACTTTATCTATAACTAAAACAATGAACAAATATGAATCGTTCTTGTGCTTTTACCTTCTACATGATTTGCTGTATGTTTCATATATGTTTTTAGAAACCATTGTTTAATGGTGCAGTATATGTAAATAATACAGTAAAATCATAATGTTACCACTTTTTTGCAAATCCAACTGTATTATCAAATAAATCCTTATTATAAAATGTTCCACCGTTGTCTAATAAAAAGAAAAATTTCTTGTCCTTAATTTTTAATGGTAAATAAGTTTTCATTTCATGTCTTGATATATTAGCTTGTATCTAGAAAATTGTAAATTGTTTCAAATTATGTGATTTCCTATTTATAGAGGAATATTTAATTGAAACTTATATAAAT